AAATAGTGAGGGATGTGATACTGGAATCTGCCAGCCCTTGCAGTTGAAGAGCTGCACAGCAGTCATCGGACAGGGACGTAGGGGATTAGAGCTGTAAAGGTCTCTCAAACAACTGAAATAATATGGAGTAGTCTCTCTCAAAAAAAGGCTAATTTGGGATCCCTGGATTGGGAAGACTTTTGTGCATTTTCATAATTAGTAGTTTTCTTGCTCAGGTACTTCAGAGCGCTAGAACAAGTCCAGAGAAGGCCCCGAGGATGATCCGAGGGCTGGAGCACCTCTCCTATGAGGACAGGCTGAGAGAGTTGGGGCTGTTCAGCCTGAAAAAGAGAAGGCTCCGGGGAGATCTTATAGCGGCCTTCCAGTACCTGAAGGGGGCCTACAAGAAAGCTGGGGAGGGACTTTTCATAAGGGCAGTGAATGACAGAACAAGGGGTAATGGCTTTAAGCTGAAAGAGGGGAGGTTTAGATTAGATATTAGGAAGAAGTTCTTCACAGTGAGGGTGGTCAGACACTGGAACAGGTTGCCCAAGGGAGTTGGGAGTCCCCCTACCTGGAAGTGTTTAAGACCAGGCTGGATGAGGCTTTGAGCAACCTGGTCTAGTGGAAGGTGTCCCTGCTGATGGCAGGGGGGTTGGAACTGGATGATCTTTAAGGTCCCTTCCACCCCTAACCATTCTGTGATTCTGTGATTCTAAGATTCTATGAAATGGGCAGTTTAAAAGAATTCAAGAAGCATTTGGATAAGGCCCTCATATGATTCGTGGTCTGAATCTTGCAATTATCCTATGCTAGGGCAGGAGTTGGACTTGATGATACTTGTGGGTCCCTTGCAACTCACACCGTTCTATGATTCTGTGATTCTATTGCTTTTGCCAAGAAAGCGAGTAATGTTACTTCTGCAATTGTAAATATATGTGATGCAATTTATTTCCAGCCATCCTGGAACTCAGCACCCCTCTAAGAGTTGTTCGGTATGATTTTGTGCCTCACTGTCATGCCACAAGGATTTGGGGACAGAAGGCAGACCCCTGCTCAAACCACTCTGTTGCATGAGCTCAGTCTGTAGCAGCGCTGGGACGGTGACACACCGTCGCTGTCCCTTTCGGCAGGGACAGACATGCTCACGCACACAGGCAGACACACATCCACACGCTGTCTCTTTCTCAAGTGGTCTCTTGCACACAGGTACTACTTTATGAAGTTTGTGAATAACTGATCATCAGTGTCTTGTTGTTTGTCTACGCTAAGCTGTGAATCTGTTCTCAGCAAGGTGCCGGGAGAAGGCACGAACATGAGCAACACTCACTAGTTGTTGGCTGCGTATTCAGTACGGTGTCTGATTTAACTGTGACAACAGGCTGACAGCACCATTGCAGCACCACCTGCAGCTGCAGCAGCAAGCAGCTTCTGCTCATAGCAGTCCTGGCTTTAATTCTCCCTGGGCAGGGGGACCCCTCTGCAGGTTCCTGTGCCAGGGATGTTGCTGGTGTGTGCACCAGCAACAGGCAGCACGAGGGAGACAGGAGACTCTGAGGTGTTACCAGGGTTAGACGGCTCTGGTTGGGACAAAGCAAAGATTGCCAAGGGAAGCCCAGCCCCTGGATTGCCATGGCTTGACCTAACCCAACAGTGGTGGGGCAGAGGAGAGCAGAGCCTTTCCCGAAGCAGCCGACAGTCACATCCATTAAAGGGCGTTGGGACACTGTGCCCTTGCTATTAGGAATAAAATTTTAAGTGGTATTTAGTCCATTTAGTCAGTACAGCCAAAATGAGGAGCAAAGTGTGGCTAGATGAAAGGACAGTTGTAACACTTAGGCTAAAATAATCAAATAGGCAGCAAAAGATGAAAATTCATCTTGAAAAAGATTAATACACTTAACCATATATATGGTTATAAATGGTTATGAATCAGTCGAACTTGTGGCTTAACTTCAGACTTGGGAAACACAGTGAAACTAAGTTCTTGGTCCAACTCTAGGTATGTGACTTGTCAGCAGCAAAAGGAAAATGTTTTTGCAATTAAAGCAGCACTCTGCAGCTACGGAGCTCTTGTTCCTACGATTCCTGTGCAGCATGATCTCCAGCTGGAGCTGGAACGTTGCTCAAAAACATTGTGCAGCTGCACAGGGAGTTGCAGCACCTCTACCTGCACAGAAGAGTTGCACATGCAGTAGGACAGGGGATGACAACTCTTGGTGTAAGATGGGAATAGCATCAAACAGGACCATTCTGAAGAAAAAGAAACTAAAATCGATTTTTTTTTCAGTTTGCCTGGGATGCTGATGTGCAAAGTGTTCCAAAATACCACTTGGTTCCCTCTTGCTCCAGCTGCAGCGTCACAGCTGATGTCTGCTGCCTGCTCCGCTGAAAGCAAACTCTCATACTTCTCTGTACAAATGTTTTTCAAGTAAAGAAACAAGAACTGCTGTTATTGGTCTTGCTTCATGCAGAAATATTATGGCATGCTATTTGAGGGGTATTTAAAATCAAATGGTTATAGTCTGTGACCCTGCCTGTGTTGCCAATGGTATAGTAATAGTATACTGGTACAAAAGCCTTATGATGTTGTAGGAAGTAAAACCGTCTGAGCTGACTGAGGTGGTTCACCAGCACACAAAATTGCACAGAATCCTCCATGCTGAAAAAAAAAAAAAAAAAAAAAAAAGGTGTCTGGGTTTGTTTTGTGTTTTTAACCAAGAAGGAGCCTACATGGCCAGTGCTGCAACAACTGCACAGCTGAGGGTACCAAACAGGCTCGAGGTCCCAGTGGGACCCGTCCCGTACAGCCGTGGTGGCACACACACGGATTTAGGCTGCAGTGTCCAACAGCTGAAGCTTGGCCGGCTGCATCTAGAGGTGCTGCAGTATAACAGCAGCCTCCAACTGACTCATGGCTCCAGCAGCATTTACCCTTGTGCAGCCTCTGCGCTGGGATGAATACTGAGCCTTTTGGCTAAGAACAGAATTTTTGAAAGCAGAGAAAAAGAAAAAATACTCAGTGAGGGTTAGTGGGAGCTGTTAAACCCAGGCTCTTCCACAAAGAAACAGAAATTAACATTCAAGACAGGGAAGTAAGCACAGAAGGATTTATTTTTACAGCTCAGCGTGCTTGTAAACTGCATGGCGGTACATGGGAGAAGTGAAGGGATCCATACCACCAGCATATGGAGCACAGGCAAAGACGGCTTCTTATGAGCAGTTTGACAATTATTTGGCTGAATTCTGCTCAAAATATTGGTGACAGCAGCAAGTCAGAGCTGCCACAAAGATGACAAATTCTTTGAAGTCCACTTGGGAATCACCATTTTCATCCAGGTTCTTGAAGACTTTATCAATGGCATCCTTGTCCTTCCCCGACTGCAAAAGAAAAGGAGCAGGTTGAGGTGAGAGGCGGCACAAACCCTAACACAGCATCGTAACTACCTGTACCCAAACAAAGGCCCTGATGGGGTTCTGGGCCCCCTTCGAGGTGTCTGTGGGGCACCTGAGGAGCGTGAGGCTGACACCAGCATGAGCACATTGTACTTTTCTGTTAAGGTGTGATGGAGGTGTAATGGCTCCTGCACACAGCCTTGCCATAGGCCTGCCTGGAGTATCAGGCTGTCACACTTTCTGCTAATGAGACCTTTTTTAAAAAATTCTGTTCACTTGTTCTGTGCATTAGATCTCTGGGTGTAAACCCATGAGTTCCTGTGCACTGTGTTTGGCTGAGAAAACTGCTCAGCACCCAGGACGGGCCGTGGGCCATGTCCCCAGGGAGCTGTACCTCTGCCTGCCCATCTCTGCAGGAGCCACATGTCTCCTCCTCTAGCTGCCTGAAAAGCACATCCCTCCTGTGGGAAGTTCTGCTGCTCCTGGGGCCAGGCCCAGGCATGTGGGGAACAGGTAGAATCACAGAATGGTTTGGGTTGGAAGGGCCCTTAAAGATCATCTAGTTCCAACCCCCCTGCCATCAGCAGAGACACCTTCCACTAGACCAGGTTGCTCAAAGCCTCATCCAGCCTGGCCTTGAACACTTCCAGGGAGGGGGCACCCACAGCTTCTCTGGGCAACCTGTTCCAGTGTCTGACCACCCGCACAGGAAATTATTTCTTCCTCATATCTAATCCATATCTATCCTGTCCCAGTTCATAGAGGTGAGGGGGCTCCGGACAATGGTGGGTGGAAGTGTGAGTCCTGGCATCCTCATGGCACGGGCACAGACCTGGATCTCCCATCCTCGGTACAGCGGCAGTGAGCACGTCGCCCTCCCCCAAAAGCATATGCTCCTGGGTTCATTGCACCCGAGAGCTGTGGTCACGCCCTGGCATGAAGAGGCACGTTTTTTGTGTTGAAAATGACATTTCTCACGGCTAAACTGTGTAATGCAAAGCCCTGAGGGCATTACCCAGCTGACCCAACCATGCCTTCCCCCCATCCTCGGTACAGCGGCAGTGAGCACGTCGCCCTCCCCCAAAAGCATATGCTCCTGGGTTCATTGCACCCGAGAGCTGTGGTCACGCCCTGGCATGAAGAGGCACGTTTTTTGTGTTGAAAATGACATTTCTCACGGCTAAACTGTGTAATGCAAAGCCCTGAGGGCATTACCCAGCTGACCCAACCATGCCTTCCCCACCTGCTCCCATGGAAAGGCTTGGCTGGGGCTCGGGCAGTTTGCAGTGCTGGGGCATACATGGAATTTAAGCTTCATTAAGTGCTGCCACCCAGCAAAGATGCAAACGGCCTCAAAAGTGCTGCCAGTGCTCCGACCGGCCTTGGTGCAGAGCACAAGCTGCTCACAGGAGCTGGCATCTGGGAGGGCACCTCCTGAAGCAAGCGTGAGGCTGAGCTTGAGTTACAGCAGGGAAAAGTATCAGAAACATCTTTTGCTTTCTAAGTTGCCATGATTCTGATGGGCTGACTGAACTAGTCCATCTCAAAGCTGATGTTATGCGAGGCACCATCCAAGTAAAAAGAGATTTTTTTTTCTTTAATTTGCAAAAAATAAAATAAAATAAAATAAAATA